TGTCGGACCCATAAAAAGTCGCACCCTCAAAAGGTGTGCCCAATCTGTCAAAAGGCGTGCCATCAAAAGGCGTACCCAATCCATAAAAAGGCGTGCCGGACATGATGGCGAGGCGCGCGATTACCTTGGCTTGCGCGTCCGTTTTGTCGTCTGGCGTCAAGTGGCGCGCGATGCGCGGATCGGCCCTGGCTATTTAAACCAAGGTTGAGGCGGAGGCTGTGCAAACCAGTCTGAAACCGCTGAACATTGGCATTCTGAAACACTCTGTAAACACTCTGTAACCAACCGGTCTCTGAAACACTCAGCAACCCATAACATGGCCTCTTCTTCCTGTCCAGCTACCCAGAACATGGCATCTTCTTCCCGTGGTCTGCTTACTCTCTTTCCCGACCTCAACGAGTCCACAAGAGAGATAACCGGTGCGGTTGCCCTTGAACCTCAACCAAACGCCCCTGAGTCTGCTCCGTTGACCTTTCCTATGCGGTTTGTGGAGCAAAGAAACTCTCTTTCCCGACCTCAACGAGTCCACAAGAGAGATAACCGGTGCGGTTTCCCTTGAACCTCAACCAAACGCCCCTGAGTTTGCTCCGTTGACCTTTCCTATGCGGTCTGTGGAGCAAAGAATGGCAGCGCAATCAGATATTGAGGCGAATCAGTATACATTAAAGTCATGTGTGGAAACCATGACTGCGGTCACAAACTTGTCGCACCGGCTGCAGTGTAGGACAAATGAGGTGCAGCAGTTAAACGCCCAACTGGCTCTGCTCCAGCGCATGTATAAGGATGCGCGAGCAGAGATAAGTGTGCTAAAGGCGGAAAATAAGGAGCTGAAGTGGAAGGCAACTGTTATGTTCCGATTTTGAGGTCCGCCATATGCTGTAGTGGAGGAGCAGGGAGGAGTGAACGTGCTCGGTGGCGTGGGAAACACGGAGGCAGCACCGTCAAGGACCGCCCAGGACGGAGGCAAAAAGAAGAGACCGGCGACAGAGTAGAGAAGAAAAATCCCGCCTGTGGATGTGGTTGTTTTGGTGTTGTTTGTGGGTTTGTTTGTTGTTGTTGTTGTTGTTTTGCTTTTTGGTGTAAAATTGTGATCGGGGTTGATCCCCGGATATGAATAAATGTTAAAACCTATCACCTACTTCACCCACTTAAACCTACTCCACTAAACCTAACTCACTACACCACTACCACCTCACCTACTCCATTAAACCTAACCCACTACACCACTACCACCTCCACTTCACCTACTCCTTACCTACTACACACTCACCCTCTTCTATATATAGGAATCATGAATCATTGTAATATTTTTTTTGTGTGTAAAATTGTGATCGGGGTTGATCCCTGATATGAATAAAACAAATGTGTTGTGCAAACCCGGATGGTAGGAAGAACATGCAGAAAAAAGGGGTGAGAATGTTTTTTTTTTTTGAAAGAAGGAAGATAAAATAAAAAAAAAAAAAAAGGGTATAGTGGGATCAGACGGCGTGGTGTGAAAGTGGAGAGTGGGTGTGATTAAATAAATAAAAGAAGAATGGGTGTGTGTGTATGAAGCTCTGTGAGAGATAGAGAGAGAGTAGAATAAATTGGTGAAGCTCATGATTGTTGATGGAGCAGCCATGTGGAAAACAAGCCCTCGTGTAGTAGATGTTTCAACTGATGAGCAACTTGCCCATCAAATAAGTTCCGGACTTGATCAGCATAATCCTCCTGGTCATACCCTGCCCACAGGAGTGTTCCCCAATCAGATACAGAACCCTTTAGAAAGTGGTACTTGGAGGGGGGCAGGATTGGATTCGAGTTGGTTGCATACTTGGTCTGACCAAGGTCTGGATGGAGCTGGTCCATCTACTGGTACTGGGTCGGTTGGACTAGGGAGAGTTCAGATGATGATGAGGCATCTTGCAGCTGTAGGAGAAACCTATGCGCAGACTGCCCTTGAAGATGCTACTTGGAGCCTTTGGCCTATGAATCCATCTCAGGCTGGTACGTCCACTTCACCAATTCCTCCTCCTGGTTCTGCAAGATACCCTGGAGGTGCTGGTGGTTTACATTTGAGGACTGCTTCACAGTCTGCAAATGACGACATAGCAAACATACTTTCCATGGCTGAAACAGTACAGGAGGTCCTTCCCCACATCCCAGATGAACTAATTTTCCAGGATTTGCAGCGAAGTCGGACTTGGCGAAGAGGACGGAGGTGAGCTGAATGAGCCAGCTCGACTCGCCGGTGAAGCCGTGGACGACGGCGACTAGTCCGATGATCTTCGTCGGCGGGAGTGGGGTGTAAAAGGTGAAGGAAGATAGGGTGGAAAGTTGACAAAATGGTGGGTGTCCTTGAGAGAGAGAGAGAGAGAGAGAGAGAAAAGTATGTTTTCAAACATCCATTATTGTATTTCTGGATCTGCAGGATGAAAGGAGTGCCAGAGATGAGTGCCAACTCCAACATGGACAAATTTATAGGGGATGCTAAAAATTCCTACAGTACAAAAAATCAATCCAGATGTAGAAATTTAATGTATAAAGAGAAATGATTGTATTATTGATTGTTGTGTGTTGTGATGTATTGTGTGTACATTATATAGGAGATGGAGATGTGAAGTGGAGGTGGAGTGGTGGAGTAGGTGAAGTGGAGTGTGTAGTGGAGTAGGTGAAATGGAGTGTGTAGTGGAGTAGGTGAAGTGGAGGTGGAGTGGTGTAGTGGGTTAGGTTTAGTGGAGTAGGTTTAGGTGTACATTAACACCAGAAATTTTTAGTTATAAATAAATATAACACATTACATTTTTTAATATTACACAAAATTTACATGATTCATAAAGCTATTACCTGATTCATTGACCATTGACCAGCCTAAGGCATCATTCTTTTCCAACTTAACTTCTATATATATACTTTAAAAAAAAAAAAAAACTCATATATATATCCAAGCAAGAGAAGGAAAAAAAAAAAAAAAGACGAAGAAAGAAAATATTGCATCTCTTCCATGCAATTATAACTTCTCCAGCATCTTTACTTGATTCATGTTGTCGGATAAGGAGCTTATGAAAACTGTTTTGTCTAAAAAACCTCGTAGAGACAATATTGAATGAAAGAGATGGAAGAGAACTACAAACCGGGATATTTGAGATAATTACATATATTCTCCACTCGGGCGTCGAAGCTTTTTGAAAAGGATCCACTGTTCTTTCCTCCGTCGAACCGTGCGAGAAATGGCCCACCCAAGAACCCTTCCCTTCCCCTGGTCCACACGGCCGAGTTTCATATAATAAATAGTTAATAACTCTCAAAGCAGTAAAGATCAGATTCAAACGCGAAACTTAACGAGATATGAAGAAATAAAAATTTTACCAATTGGTTAATCGGATGGAATAGCAGCATATGAAATCTGCACGCACAGAGCATCACTGATCCCTGGCACACTCTTCATATACACGCAATATCAGAGAACTCCTAGAGTCTACGATACAATTGGCTATACTGATCAATGCTGTCTGTTGAATACTCGAATCTAAAAAAAACCTACCACAATTTCTACGCATCGCTCTCAAAAGAGAAGCTCAATGCAAGTACACTTTACAGCTTCACCTTGACGATACTGGTTTGCTGCTATTATTATACAGAAGTGTTTTGCTTGTTCTGGCACTGAGCACAAGTGAGAATGCTATTCAGAGTATTCGGATGAGCGTCCTCCCAACCCCTGTTGCATACTTGAGCAATGGTAGAAATGTTGTGTAACAACATACATCACCGAAGCTCATGCTTTTCTTGAATCCTATAGCGCGCAAAAAGAATTTGATACAAGATTGTCTGTATTTAAAGCTTTGGGCATGGCACAGTCCAGATGTCGCTATGATCACCAGTCACAAGTTGCCGCAGCAATGGCAGACGTCCATATTCTTTGTAGTTCTGCAGCAACAGGTGACAACCAGAAAAGGACTTGCCACTCCTTTCTGTTTTCAGCACTTGCTTAAAGCTTCTATTAGCATCATTGAAAACTGTTTTTGTCTTTACACAGTATCAACCCAAGAAGAATGATAATCAATTGACTAAAGTGATGCTAACTAGGATGATAGAATCGAAATCCTTGCTCCCTTCGCAGTCTGCAGATATTGTGGCTCTTGAGAAGCTGACTCGAAGCCTAGCCTTGCCCTTATTCTCCAGTAATATATCTCACTGAGGACATCCCGAGACATGATACAAATTATAATGGGCTAAATAGTACACTAGCACCTCACCTTCTTGTCATTGTAAATTTTGGAAGATCAGCACTAAGAACTTTTGCCACTATTAGTACGTGTGCATATTGTCTATGGGTAAGGCGGTAGCATAATTGATATTTTTAATTGCCTTCTACAATTTCTTTCTATAGTTTTGATAAGATTCGAATGGGGAGGTGGCTATCTTGTACTTTTAAATTTTATTCTGTGCTCACAACCATTTTTCTGAGTTATATGACATATGAGAAGACTGCATGTCATACGCTCCACATTGGGACATACGCTTTTAGTTGGAGACGCACCATATACTTGGTGAGATTCTTTGTTCGTGTGGACCGTGGTTGTGCGTGTGTAGAAGAGAGATTATTCTTTACATGATGTTGTTTGTTTTGGTTTGCCTTTCTATCGCCGTCGTGATTACTCAGCCAATCCTAGTTCTAGGTTGGTTCCATTGCACTCTCACCTAACAAGGTTACTTTGGTGCCTGTCTATTGGATTGCCTCTTCAAACTACACATGCAAACCACATGGATAGCAGATGTGTACAGGGAATAACGAATTTATACTCACTGATGCACTCTCATTTGTGGTACATAATCGGACAAATCTTCTGAAAAAGAACAGCTCATAAGTTGCTCTAACGCTTCTATGTAAGAATCAGGTTTGCCGCTCGACTTCCGTTTTCATGCCAATGTTGCTCATTTATCAACGAGGCACAGGTAGGAATGCAAATACATTACCTTCATGCCACCGGCATGATTGCCTCCGAGCAATCCTAAAACGCCCGACATTTAGTTTTATCCTAGTTGTTCATTAGCATTTTGTAATTCCACCCATCATTCACACTAAATGCTTTCTGTGACAAGCTCTGTTTAGCATCGTAAGCATGAAATTTGTCCATCCTTTTGGAAAGTTTAGGAGCAACCCATCCATCTGTTGAAGTAAAGACTTGATCTCTCCAGCATTCTCTGCATTTTACAAATCAGCTATCAAAAATCTAAACCAAGAGCACTTAAGAAACACAAGATTAACATAGATATTAAAGTGCACGACCATAATTAGATATGGTATATATGTGTAGGACGAGTTCAAGCCTCTCAAATTTTACTTAGCTTAACTTGCATACTGTTAAGACACTCTTTTAAGCCAGATCTTATTGAATAAATAGTACGCACTACTAGGAGTGCACAGCGGAATAGCAATATGCCTAGGATGGTTCTTCCACCACCACATGCTCTCTGTTCACAACTTACTCGCCCTATTTGGTCTATGAGTAGGAGGGTGCTTTCTTTCTTTGGCGCGTGTGCGCGAATCCTAGCCTTTGCAAGCGTGAGCTACGGCGCAGCAAACAGCCATTGCTTTCCCCTAAAATTTTATGTGTATGCATCACAAGTGTATCTTCTTCTCGGATGTTGTTGAGTGTATGTAGTTCAATACATCAGTTCAGGGATGGAGATATATATAGCTATGTGCAAAATCACATAGCTCTAACGGTGGCAACAGCATAGTGTTACACGTTGTTAACTTAAACGTCACTACCAGTCATTTCATGTTTGAAAAAATAGTTTACGCAAATATAAGATCTATAAAGCTAAATGAAGCATTGATCCTATGTGATGGACAAATTTGACACTAGAATGACTTTAATCTCTTTACTGGAACGTGCATGACAAGAACGTTTAAGTGGTGTAGTCACACACTCAAATTATGTGAGAGTACATAGGTCCTATATCCTGCTAAGTGCGAATCAAGTCCTCTCTTTGCTTCATTAGCACGCTTGCTTGGGCATTTGCATGATCATTGAATTAAAACAGAAAACTAGCCCAATCAGGATTGCAATGGACTGGAATCTATAAAGCCTGCGATCAGGGACAAAGTTGGGATAAGGCAAGAAGGTGGACCACAACTACAAAGACAGTAAGCAGGAAATAAATAAATATCAAAGAAAAGTATATATATATTGCACAACAGATACAGATAAGGGTTGAGAGAACAGGGTGTTCCGCATGAAATGGAAGTATTAAATGCAGCGACTATGCCTCTGCAGCGCTAAAACTTGTAATTCATGCATATAATTACGAAATAAAAAGTGTTTGCAATTAATTGAGCAATTAATAGTTTAAAAAACAATTGAAAAAGTTACAATTGACAGAAAGACAGTAATACAACTAAACCAGCTCCAAAATAAATTCATGATTGGTAAATCAAGAAGAAAACTTATCAAACACTTAAAATACCACATTTCATTATAACACTAAATAAATAAAATATCAATTTACAACAAAATAAAATATTTACCCTTCAATTGAAGCAAATTATATTTATAAGAAAACAATTACATATCGTATGAGGAAAAACAGTAAATTACAACAAAACTAAACTCCACAATAAATTCCATGATTAGTAATAACTTCAAAACAATCAGCAAAATCTAATCAACTTTTGAAGCATACCACAATTGCCATTATCAAAAAAAAATCGCAATTTCACAGTAATAACAAAGTATTTTGTTGCTTCAATTGAGGCAAAAAAACAAGATTAATAAAACATTACAAAAAACCAGTTCCACAACAATTCATGATTCTACCCGAATAGAGCTCACAAGATGAACCGCCATTTTCATTACGAAAAAAATTAAGCAATTTCATTTGGGAAAATGCAGATTATGCCGTAGTCATGACACACAATAACACCAGTGCTCCGACGAAATATAATGACATGATGATTACCGTGGACTGGACAGCTTCGATTTGAGCGTCTCTGTCTGCGAGAGAGAGGAACACTTGGTGGATCCAATAGTAGAGAAGAGAAAGCTATTGTCGCCAAAGAACTACAGACGAGCAAAGGACCTTTGGACTGTAATTAACTACGATCGGCAGGGCTCGGCAAGGCAAGTAAGAGGAACATCAAACCCTAGAAGATGCCGATTGAAGACTTGAGGCGATCCTTGTGGTATTTCGCAGAGACAACAGCTCTGCATTTAGATAA